GGCTATGAATACACTAGGCGAGGGTCTCGATACCACAAAGGCGTCTGTTCGTGAATCGATGGAGATCATGAACCGAAGGTTTGATGAGATGGCACTCAACATGGTGGCGCGCCAATCACCAACCCGACGGCCCAATCGCGATCGGCCCGAACATGAAGGACGCCGCGAACGCGAGCATGATGATGACCAAGCGCGGCGGTACGGGGGTCGGGATCTCGAACGACGCTACGACCGTGAGCGACACGAAGAGGAACGACAACACGACGATCGCGAGCGAGACGTGGACTGCGAGCGACGGCGCGAGGAGTACGAGCGAGAAGACGACTTCGACTGACGGTCCCAGGCGTCTAACTATCATGACCACCCGAAGCCCGAGAAGCCGAGGATCACACTGTCCACGTTCAACGGCAACGATCCTGAGGCTTGGCTCAACCGAGCCGTTCAATACTTTGATCTCAACGAGACCGAAGGACGAGATCGGGTAAGATACGCTGCCTATTACTTAGATGGAGAAGTCAACGTGTGGTGGCAGTGGCTTACTAGCGTATACCGAAGCCGACACCGAGTCATCCGATGGAACGATTTCGAACGCGAGTTACTCACGCGCTTCGGCTCATCCGACTACCACAATTACCACGAGGCGCTATCCCGCATACGACAGACCGGCAGCTTGCGCGACTATCTTAAGGAGTTCGAGCGATTGGCATGTCGCGTACGAGGCTGGCCCGAGACTGCGTTGGTTGGGACCTTTATTGGTGGGCTGAAGTATGATCTAGCCGCAGAGGTCCGCTTAGAGCGACCAGAATCAATGCATGCGGCTATGGAAGTTTCCCGACGCCGAGAAGATCATCTTGTGGCAACTCGAAGGGGACGGGCAGATGCACGCTACCCCGAGACACGACGCGCACAACCGGATGCAAGCAATATGGTCCCAAGCGGCTGACCACCTGACAACTCTCGACCGACTAATAGCACACGACCAGAATTCAAGCACTTGTCGCTTGAGGAGATAAGGCGCCGGCGTGAAAAAGGGCTTTGCTACAAGTGTGAAGAAAAGTTTACGCCGGGCCACCGATGCAAACAAGCCTTTGTGATAGAAGTCGTCGACTATGATGAAGAAGAACCCATGATCGATGAGCACGAAGAGAACGAGAGCAGGGTCGCAATGTTCGAGGAAGACGCTGAGATCTCGATGCAGGCGATGGCTGGTACAGGAGGACCGACGACGATGCGGCTGCCGGCGTTGGTCAAGGACCACTGTGTAGTCGTGCTAGTGGACAACGGATCGCCGCACAACTTCATCAATGCCAATCTATCTAAGAAACTGAAGTTGCCAACAACAAAGGTAGAGCCGTTCGAGGTACGAGTAGCCAATGGTGAACGGCTAAGGTGCACCGAGTCTTATCGTAGGGTGCCGATCAAATTTCAAGGAGTCACCATCAAAGCCGATCTCTATGCACTACCCTTGGTTGGACCCGACGTGGTGTTAGGAGTACAATGGCTCGAAGGGTTAGGAAAGGTGACCACCGACTACCGGATGGGAGTCATGGAATTCGACTCAGGAGAGCACCGGCTCACGTTAAAGGCAAGCAAGAATGGCGGGACCAAGGAGGTTGGTCTCAAGAGTATTGAGCGAGTTTGGTGTGGAGGCGGCCAGACTTTCACCATCGAGGAGGCGAGCGCACATGCGGGCACGGTCGAGCCAGTTAAGTACAAAGAGCTCCCTTTATTCGTCGACTATTGCGAAGAGGTCGAGCAAGTCTCGACAGAATATGATGGCCCACCTGTCTTCGACGTATACCCCGAAGATGAACTCGTGGACGTCGAAGGAATTGAAGAAGTCGAGGTCGAGGAGACTAGGGTCGAAGGCGAGGTGCAAGAGGTTTGGACGATCAAGCGGCAGCAATTCGAGATACGCGAGTTGGGTAGAGAAACCGACCGCGTACTAAGCAAGTCCGACAAAGAAGAAGGACGAGTCAAAGAAAAGTGTAAGGAGCCTATCTTCCCATTTGAATTCTTGAAATATTGTAAGGATGTAAGGCCCATCGAGTACGCGAATGAGTCGACGGATTATGAAGGATCGCCTATTTTCGATGTATACCCTGATGAACACTTTGTTGAGGTCGAAAGAATTTTGGGCGAGTCCAATGAAGCCGAAGTGATTGGAGTAAAGGAGGAGATTTGGCTTGAGAATGAAGAAGGTATGCTGGAGATTTCAGTGGTTGAGGAAAAAATTGCGCACATAGTGTACGAGGTAAGGACGCCCCAATTAATAGTTGATGACAAG